CAAGTTTGTTTTGAACGGTTAAGGTGTCTCGATGCAGTTTTTTCTGGATCATACCAAGTAAAGGTCGGTACACACGAGTGGACTAGTCCCTGCAACAAGTCGCGGTGACAAGTCTCATCGTGTGAACTGGCCATTTTTACCTCAGAATCTAGTCGCAGGGACTAACTTTGGTCCCTGCAACTAGTCCCACGAATTTAAACTGGTTTGAATTTTTGGGACAAGTCCCTGTGACTTGTTCCTCCAAACGCTTCGTGTGAACTGTTCGTGGGACAAGTCCCTGCGACCAGTCCCTTCGTGTAAACTCTTCAGGGGACTAGTTGCGGGGACTAGTCGCAGGGACTGATCCCCTCGTGTGTGCCGACCTTAAATCGCCTTTTGAACGGGTTTACCTTAATCTGGTCAACATTACAATTACAACAGTTATTCAGAGTAGATTTAAAATGGGCATACAGCAATGTAATTTTTTAAGGGTAATCAATGATGCCATGAAAACGATAAACAAACGATTTGAAAATCGACAAAACATGAATTTTACGCATACCAGATGTAATACAAAATGTTTTGCGAGTTACTCGAAATCGAACATATAGAATGTTTTTATTTTGTATTCTGCTTGCCGTACACCATAATTCAAGACATTGGCATTAGCTTTTTTAGTCCACATCTGGTTAGCACAAAATTCGTGTGTTACTCATTTTGAATTTTTTGGTTATTGTTTCCATAGAAATAATGATTGCCCTAGAAAACGTCAATATATTTCGAGTGGCTGGTTTAATTTTCATATGTATCCGATAAAGGCGCGACTGGCAGAAAGCTGATTGAAATTACTTGGTGTAGTCCAGAAGAAAATGTATGAACTCAAGACATCTTTAATGTTGATTTTGGAAAGGTTTTAATTTCGCGTTTTATTGCAGGCGTATACATGTCCTCAATGTGGACATTTGTTCTGCATGGACTGCGACATCTTCATTCACGACTCCCTCCACAGCTGTCCCGGATGTACAGCTTCCCCACAGGGGAAGGGCTAGGGATTCTCTTGTTCGCAATGTAACGTCACTGAAACAATAAAAACAAAAAGCAGAAGCAAACTCTTGCACTGGAGTTTTTCGAGTCTCTGCCACTTGACACTCTTTTGTACAGACCTGTCTATTGGTCAGATCTTTGCTAAGCCTCTAAAACGTAATTAAATAGCGACTGTGTTAATCGGGGTTTATTGCAATGATCTCTGACAACGTAACAGATTCAAAGGTTTTAATTTTTCAAATTTTCTTTTTTTAGATGAATTACCGTACCAATTACTGTAGTTGTTTTTCCAAAATGAAATTTCATCTCCGATGAACATGAAAGGCGCCCACTGACTCACGTCAGAATAGCCGTTAGTTCTCATCCACTTCATGGCCTCGTGAAGAGATTCACCACGAACAAGGTGATTATAGAAACTATTCATCAACTGCTCTGTTGCACTATCTTCTAGGGCCCATTTTGCCACCAACACCGAGCGTGCACCGGATCTTAAGAACGCTCGAGTGGTTCCAACAACGCCTTCGACTCTTATCTGTCCTCTTCCACTGTGGCAACAACTCAGGACTACCAGTTTGGCTAGCAGCTGAACACTTGAAATGTCAGACATTGTTAACAAGTATTCTTATTAGGAGTTTCGTTAGTAGGGCGAAGAGGAGAAAGGAAAATTTCTCCTCTTTCAGCACCACCATGCGCAGCAAAATGTATCAGGCTCACTGAATTGATCCTCTCAAATACCGCTTGCTTAGTTGCTTGTTCTCCCAACAAAGGGACACCCAGCAGTCGTCCAATCATAGCTGCTTCATTTCCTGCACAGGGCAATGTAGCTAGACATGTCCTTTTTTTCATCTCCTTTGCATGGCACCAAACTAACATCGGTATCTCCCACTATCGGTGCGCCAGTCTGACTGTGATAGTCTGCAAGATTGTCTTGGATGAGCTTGAGAGTCGTCAAAGAAGGCACGATGCGGATCATGTGAGTCTCGGACAAATACTTCCCTCTCTCAACCGGTACAGCTGCGAATGGAACTTTGTACAAGGAGCGATCAGGTACGATGGTGATCTCAGGTTCATCCAACAAGTCAGCCACAAGTTCGATCATCATTTCGTAACACAAAGAGAGGTTTGGTTTAACATGATCTTTGTGTTCTTCTCCATCCGCCTCCTTTTCTAGAAGTCGTAAAGATGCTGGATTATCGTCCTGGGATGAGATTGGTTTCGCGTCGGTATCGTCCCAAGAATGATCTTCGCTGGATCTTCGCAATGCTCCGTTGCCAAAACACCAAACTGTCTAAAATTTTCAGCAAAAAAATCATCAAAATTTCTAACCAGTCCGTGAAAAGCAGTGTTTTCATTTACATTAATTGCTTGAAAATGCCTTACCCTGCTGAAATTCGCCAAAAGAACTGTAAACAGTTCCTAGATTTTCATAGCATGACGCTTCTCCCCTTTTGTCTCCAATTTCTTTAGTGACCACGAGCGCTTTCTCAGAGTATTCTTTAACCTTGTTATAGGCCGCACGAGAGCAAAGTAAAGTTCCTAGCTTTATGTAACGCCAGGCCTCTCCATTTCTGTCACCAAATTCATTTTTGATGACAAGTGCTTTGTGATAGTATTCCTTGGCCTTGCGGTATTAAACAAGAGATTGAAACGCATCTCCCTAGGGCTTGGTAATTTGCTGCTTCGCCTAGAGGATCTCGAATTTTTATCTCAAGCGCCTTGTCAAAATACTCTTTGGGCACGAGAAATTCACCGAGACACATGGATAGAGATCCTAGGTTTCCGTAAACGGTACCTTGCCCGTCTATGTCTCCAATTTCTTTGAGGATCGCAAAAACTTTCTCAAGATATTGCTTAGCCTTGGCATATTCACCAAAAGATCGTAACATAGCCCCTAGATTTCCATGAGATGAAGTTTTTCCATCTCTGTCTCCAATTTCCAATCTGATCCTTAATGCATTCTAGGTATGCCCTTGACCATTAACATATTCACTCAAAGCTTCAAACACTGCGCCAAGGTTACCATAAGATGTGACCGCTCCTAAGTGTCTGTCGCCAATTTCTGTACTGATTGCTAGTGCTTTCTCGCAGAGTTCTTTTGCTTCTCCACATTTACTCTGCGAATAATGCAATGTAGCTAGTTTCAAGCTTAGTTTACTTTCTATAGTTTTTCCGCCACTTTCCTGCAGTATGGTGAGAAGTTTGTTGCCGTATTTAATTGCACTGGAGTAATCATTGATTAGACAGTACACGGTGAACATTATAGAATATAGCTTTATGAAAAATACTCTGATCACTTCTTCCTTTATGACAGCTTTGCTGTTAAGGATGATCGGGCATTCCTCGCACAGCTTAATGGCCTATAGAACTCGAAACGTATTGAGAAGAAAGATTGCGACCATGAGGCCAATAGAGACGGCTTGGACAATAATTATTGTGTTGTTCATGTTGGGAACTTCTACATCTGTCATGAGCTGATAAAGAGGAATTTAAAAATAACGGAAACAAAATTAAGGTTCCAATTTGTTATTGACGTAGAAATTTATGTATCTTTTTCCTCGTACCAAAATACAAAATATATGAAGCCCTGGCCGAACGGGCTCGCAAGTAGACGCAAGTTGAAAACTTGAGTTGCGCTCACTTTGGTCGAAATCAAATTTGCACGGAATTCGGCGCAAGTTTTTCACCGTTTGGCCGCCCAACCCAACTCGACGAAAGTGGACTGACGTCCAATCGTTGTTATAGCAGCCTATTAGCCAATGAAATATAGCCTTTTGGCCGCGCGAGACTTAGTGTGTAGCCTTTTGCGGCTTGCGTGTACTTCTATGGGAACTTGCGGCTGAATCCGTTTTGCACACCCAATGCTAGTCTCCAGCTACTTGCGAGTCCGTTCGGCCAGGGCTTAACTCATATGGGTGCTGCTTTGGCTGAGCTCTGTTTGGCTGGGCAAAAAAGCACTCAACCCTACCTAGTGGGATATTGATATTGGACACACTTGCTGTATGAGACGCGCCTGCAGGGAATCATGGTAATTGTATTCGTCAAAACAAATGTCCAGTCAAAGATGACGAATACGCTACCATGATTCCTTGCAGGTACATCTGATAGAGGGAATAGGCCACGTCCGACATATCAACATTCTAAAGTGGTTCCGAGGCTTTCGGGTCAAAATTGAAAATTTTTAAAGTTTCTTTTGTTTCTCAATTCCCAGAAGAGACTTGGATACATAGAAAACACCACCCAATAGAGAAGTTTGTCCTGAAAGCCTGGGAGCCACGGTAGAATATATCGAACGTGGCCTATATAAATAATAGCCTCCATTTGGCGCGAAAATATCCTGGGATATTTGTCCCCGGACATTATCTCTTCCGAGAAGCGTACGCTCTCGGAAAACGCTTCTCGGAACAGATAATGTCCGCGGACAAATATCCGAGCATAGTTTCGCCCCAAATGGAGGCTACTGTGTTTATTATTCTTCAAATCTTTTCACAACGCGCGCAGTTTTGAAAATTGGGGAATATTCTTGGATATTCCTCAGTTGTAGCTGGGGAATATTCGTTCACGTGACGTGTTTAGACCAGTCGCGCGCGAGCGAAAACATTTGATGGATTATAATGGCCAACATTGCTGACAACGCTGCCCCAAAGAGGAAGAAGACCACAGTTAGCGATATCTATTTTCCGATATCTATTTCCTGTTAGTTTCATGTCACGGAACCTACTTTTAACAAAACTTACTTCCGTGTCCGCCACCTTGCGAAAATGAAAATCAAGAAGGGAAATCCTTGGAAAGTTCAAATGTTACAATATTCTAAGAAATTGACGAGATCGAAACGTCGAGATCGGTCGCTGATCGCAGACGGCTTTTA